GATTGCCAATTTTTCCGAAAATTACTAAGGGGAAAAATAAAAATACCTGTTCTGATTTAAATGTATGTTTTCGTTATTTCGTTAAAAGTGTTTAGTGCATAGATTAAATAAATGGTAGTGCTTATTATTATTAACAATAACAAACATTTAATGTTTTATTAAACGGAATTGTATTATCATTGCAAATATGGATGAAAATAGTATTACCTATAGCAGGCCCGTTTCTGGGGTATCTGGCGCCTGCGTGCAGCATTCGTTGGTGCGCCCCTTTTATATTTAAATATAATACATTAAATATTTGAGTTTTAAGCCGTAAAATTTAAAAAAATATATATTTTGCGACTGGCAATACGTAATTGAAAATGTAAAAAAACCGCTTAAATTAAGTATAAAAAATATGTATTAAATTACCAACAAACAAGTAATATCATAAGGGCATCTATTTTTTCGAAAAAAATCAAAAAAACACGTTGCTAAGTAATATTTTAATAAGAAGCATGTGTGCTGGTGGCAACAAAAATCCGAGTCGAAGACGAGGATTTTTGCACCTGCACTAATGCATTTTGTTAAAAAATATTACTTAGCCAGGGCCGGGCCTAAGGGGGGTGTAGGGGGGGAGTCACCCCCCCCCCCCAAAGTCTTGGCAGTTGGTTCCAAATCCAAACACGGTTGGCAAAATCTATAGTATTTGGGTCGGTTGGTTATACCTACCCTACCAACAAACCCATCACAATAAATAAAATGAAATATAATTTTTAAACTTTACCTACATATTACAAAATTATAATTTTTAATCTATTGTAACCTTTTATAATCGTTACCGTCAAGAAAATTGTATTGGTCAACCTTATTTTTATTAAAGGACATTATATTTCACACAAGCGGCATGTACAAAGTCGGCACCGCCTCGCGGCTTTGTCTTTGGTTTTGGCGGCGTTTGACTCTTTTGCACCGCAATTTTCGGCGTCTTATTTTTCTAGATTATTAATTAGTTGAAGCTTATCTAAGCTAAGTAAAACTAGTGTCAATAAATAGGAATTAATTTTTGTTTAATATGGAAAAGAAAGCTAGACCGGGCCGAGTTCTAGTAAAATGCTCATTATGTGGATCTGTGTTTAACAAGGACTAGAAAAAAAAATGCACAAGGAAAATATTCACGGTGGTTAAAATTAAAATTGTTACGGATAATCCACTTACATTGGCAGCAAATCAAAAAAATAGAGAACGAGAATCAATCCCATCGACTTTGAAAGTGCATGCTAATGGTAGGTAAAGACATTCTTTATCTACACTTTACAACACTTTACATTCATGATAAAACTACTGAAATTTTTTACTATTACTACTAAAGTATCGATAAAAAAATAAGTTGGTTTTTTTATCGTCTCCACCCCCCCAAAAAAGTGTGCCTCGGTACGGCCCTGTACTTAGCATTGTGTTTTAACGATTTTTTTCATAGGAAAAGTTAGATGCCCGAATGGTATTTAACAAGACTATTTCATGAGTAACAGTTAACAATTAAAATATAAATTGCAATTTTTGGTGACAGCTGTCAAGTTTTGCCGCATTCAGTTTTTCCACCTAGAAACCATTTGTAGTTCAAAATTGCGCGTTTATGATTGGTGGAAATTAAAACGAGGGAAATAGTCAGTGATAAAAATACTCTAAAAAAAACAATCTAATCAATATAATAACTACAACTGTTTTTAGTGACGTACTCTCTAAAAATGACTAGTTTTTAAAGTAAAAAAGCAGTCACTAATAACTTTCGTCCACAGCTATTTGTATCCCGGGCATTTAACAGCTTATTATTATGTAAAATTGTCCCCTGAATCCGAAAATACCTTCAAAAATTATAAAAGTAAATCAGTTTTTAAGATATAGTCAATACCATATTATATGGAAAATTTACTAAATCTCAAAAACGTTCTACTTTTATAACTTTTGACGACATTTTCGGATTCAGCGGACAATTTTACATAGGAGTTGACTGCTAAATATCCGGGATACAAATTACTATTGACAATAATTAGTCGCTGCTTTTTCGCTATTGCAATTAGACTAATTGAATTAGTCATTTTTGACTAATTCTATTTTAGAGAGTTACTACTATTAAACTTTGCTACCGTCAACTGCAACTATCAAACAAATACTAAAGATAATATGACCATTTCTCTCCTTTTATTTTGATCCCCATATCAAAACAAAATAAGCAGCCAATATCAAGCGGCAAAAGGCGCTTTATAGCGACCGAAAAAAAGAACGGCCGACTCAAAAAAGGCAGAAACCTTTATCCAATGTATGTTTAAGTATCATATGCAAGAAAGTTTATCGGTACAAAGTACTGATTGACTCTTTGATTTTGCGCCCCCGAAATGTTGCGCCTGCGTGCGTGCACGCACTGCACGCTCGCCAGGAACGGGCCTGACCTATAGTCGCTAGCATAATAGTGATAGGGTGTGCTGTTTTACTATTAAACTTAAAAAATAAGAAACAGAGAAAGTGGTGGGTGAGGCCATGGATCCTGCAAAGGGATACCAAAGGAGCATTTTCTTTAGTAAATGAAGAGTTTGAGGCTGCCGAGCACTATGAAAGTTATAAAAATTTTCTAAGGATGGACAAGCCAACATTTTGCCTACTTTTGGAAATGGTACACTTTACTGTATTCTTTAAAGAATTGGGTGCGTAAATTATGAATTTTTTTATTAATTTCTTCAATAGTTGGACTAAACCCATTTTCAATTAAACCCAATCTAATATTTTTGAGGGCATCTTGCCGTTTATTTTTCAACTTATAGTTGGGGTTGTTTGTTGAATATAGATTTGGGTTTGCCTCATAAAGGAGAATTAACAAACGGGTTGATGGTTGGTCCCACGTAAAACCCTGAGAGCTCATTTTTATAAACACTCGACGCTTAAACTGAAAATTTGTGTAGGATATACACCATAGACTACTACACACTCTTAAAAATAAGGTTGTTATCTGTCATTCCATTTGACAAATATTAAGTACCAACCTTATTTTTTAGTGAAAATTCGTAAACCCCTGAAAAAGTTACTAAGTCGCCGCAACTTTATTGCATGAAAATAGAACATGTTCTATTTTAGGACAAGTTTGATCAACTGCTTAGTTTCATTGTGTGAACAACAAAAAATCGCCGCAACCTGGTTGCCGCGACAAAGTTGCTGCAAGAATTTGCACCGTCTGATCCTAGCTTTATAGTGTATACACTATACAGTATACTGTTAGCAGAAACAACTGAGCACAGATACAGTTCTTTTTCTATGATACAGTTAAAGCCATAGAAAAAGCATTGTTGCACACAAAAGAGGGGGGTTGAGAAAACTGGCTGTATTTTAAAATTTAAACCCAGTAATGAAATACCTATTACAAATTGAAAAAAAAGGAAAAAATCTTAAAAAAACAAAACTGCTTTAATAGTTATTTACTTTCACATGTTTTTTTATTTTTTTTATTAATTTAAATAAAGTTTAATTGTTTAATTAACCTTGAATAAAAAAAAGAATCTTGGTTGATTAACATTTACGACTTGCTAGTTACACTTTATGTGCGGGTAAATATTTGGGAATTTTTATTTTGAGGGGCGGGTAAAAGCGAGTAAAAGCGGGTAATTGGTGAGGTTGGTGTGGGATTGAAAATGTGAAGTCCGGCACATAGATTACCTAATAACCGGTAATAGGGATGGGAAAAATCGATAAGAAAAACTATCGATAGTTATCGATAGTTTACCAAAAACTATCGATAACTATCGATAAACATCGGTAATTTCCCCCACCCTTATTCTAGGGCGGGAAATTTAAATTAACTATAAACTATTTCAAAATATCTTTATTTTAAAAAGTACATTTACATTTCCCTAGTTTAGGGAATTTCCTACACAATGGGTACTATTAATCAAGGATTTTGTAAAATCCTTGACTATTAATAATGAAATATTATTTTTTTTCTATGATGCTATCCAACAAACAGACACAAACTTAGAAGGGTAAAAAGCTGAATTGCAATTTTGACATTTTAAAACTATCGATAGTTATCGGTAACGTCAAAAACTATCGATAGTTACCGATTCCACGACTTATCGATAACTATCGATAGATATCGATAGTTTTCCCATCCCTAACCGGTAACACTGGTCAGGAGTTCTGACCATAATAATCTTCTGACTCAAGTCTTTTCAAATTTCAAAGTGGTAACCCTACTCATTTATCATAAAAACAATCTATTTTTAATCATTACATTCCCAATGACTGGTCTCTAGTCTTCGTGATTACATCTTTTGAAACAAATTGCATTTCACAGAGGAGAATGCATTTTTTCCAAAAAATAAACAAGAAAAATTTAGAACTGTCACAATCAGCTGATTAAAAATTAAACTTAATTTAAAAAGGTCAGTACGCCATTGGCTTTGATATAAAAATATATTTTTAATTGTTCTGATTATTAATAGGTCGAATATTTCCAAAAATACATATCTAGATAATCATAAATAGATAATAGGGGCTGACAAATAGATCAATAGTTTAGGCTATGAAGATCTCGAACAATGGAATCTTCTTGATACACGCCCATGGATTATTGACTTTTCTTCGTCTGAAAATTTGAGCCAATGGGAGTTTAAAGCCGGGGGAGAAAATAAAAAAATCCGGAATAGCGGATTCTAGTGTGTTTAACTAGTGTCCCGCTGTTGCAGTGAGAATTTCAAGTCTTCCACGAATATTTTAGTCGATTTCTTGCCTGGTAAGCAAAAAACAGTTATTTTTGGAAGTATATTAGGTAAATGTAGTTTTTCTATTTTCGTAAATTTAGTTATTTTCTATAGTGCTTGTAATAGTATAAAGTGAGATATGAATAATTAATATAAAAGTATATTAATTAAATATAATTAGACAGTGATTTAAAAATTCTAGTTACTTATATTTTTTAATTTAGTAATTTATTTAATGTTTTGTTTACTTTTTCTGCTTATGTTGGTAATAGCATATTTGACAATTTCAAGATGTCGGAATGCTAAGGTTTCGTGCATATAATTGTTAATTATTTGCCTATTTTTGAAGTGTAAGTTTCCCCAAGAAGTTTTTAACTTTTCATTGTTGTTTTTGTGCTAAACGAGTTTAAATAAGTGCTTCAAACGACATGTATTAAGCGGTAAGCATTTTAAAAGGCGGGAAATAGGCTAATCATTTTTACAAATTGAATGAAAAAAACCGGAGGGCAATTCCACGCTTAACGGATAAGACAGTTGCCGTGTTTTTATTTACAAAATAATATTGTTCTATTATATTACCAATGTCAAATTTTTATAAATAGTTCTAAACAAAAGCTGTTTAACAAGGTTTTTATTTGGCAAAATGAGGTATCGTGATTGACTGTTTAATTCCTTAAAAATTAATAATTGAAAGCGTAACGGACGGGACTATTACAAAGTCCCGTCCGTTACGCTTTAAATTATTAGTTTTTAAGGAATTAAACAGTCAACCACGATACCTAATTTTGCCAAATAAAAACCTTGTTAAACAGCTTTAGTTTAGAACTATTTATAAAAATTTGACATTGGTAATATAATAGAACAATATTATTTTGTAAATAAAAACACGGCAACTGTCCTATCCGTTACGCGTGGAATGGCCCAGGAGAAAACTTATTGAACGGTATATTTTCAGATATTACAATGGCACAAGAAGAGATTATTTTAAGTACTATAAATAAATGTTTGGAAATTAAAGATATTATTTCTGAAGCTTCAAACATTAAAAAATCTTTGAAATTGAAAGATGCTGAGGTTATAAAAGAAATAACAGAAAAAACTAAAACTATTGTAGATAAGTTATATAAACATGTTGGTGATATTAGAAATAAATTTTACAAAGAGTGTAAATTGCTAGATAACACAAGACATACAATTGAAGAAAATGAAGAAAATGATGTGGAGCAAATGTCAAAAGATACTACACTACAATTGGACAATACATGTATAACTGATAGTTTTGTTGAATATATCGATTCTCAAATACCCAAGCCTAATGAAAAGGAAATAGATTCACATGCTGAAAAAGAAAATGCATTTGAATTTGAAAAATCCAAGGAGAAGGAAGAAGTTGCAGAAAAGACCAGCCAACAAAATAAAGAAGAGACAAAAGATGATGTTAAACCAAGAATTAAAGTAGTTGACTTTAGTAAATTATGTGCCCCGGGGCCTGAAAATGCTTTAGATTTTTCTTCTCTCAAGCAAAAGAAAAGTGTCTCTTTCGATTCTTCAATAATTATTTTAACCGATTCTGAAGAAGATTCTCCAAGAAAATTAAAAAGAAAAACTAATTCTGAGACAACAACTAAAAGTTGCATGAAAAAAACTAAAGCAGCCAATTATAATGGCACTGATAAAACAGATGAAAGTGGCAGCAGAAATAATCTTGTTGAAAAAGAAAGTATATGCCCTTTAGATTCAAGTGATTCAGATGGAAAACTTGGGAATTCTAATACGACTAAGGACAAAAAATGCAGTGATTCTTCAGATTCAGAGGAAAAACATATAAAGAGAAGAAAGTCTAGGAGAAATAAAGTTGGAGATACCAGTGATAAAGAAACAGACAAAAGGCACAAGAGAATGAGAAGTAAAAATAAGTTGTCATTAAGAAAAAAATATGATAGTGATTCCTGTTCAGATGATGAAAAATATTCTATAAATGATTCAGATTCAGATAATGAAGATCCAAAAAGTATTGACAAAGAGAAGGTAAATTCAAATTATCATAAATCCAAAGAAAATGTGAAAGAAAAAATAAAATCAGATTCTAAAAAAGATACTGAAAAAACAAGCAACAATAAAGATGAACAAATGGAAGACAAAACAAATAGTTCATCAGATTCAGAAACAACTAGCTCCAAATGGCAGAAAAAACTTAACCTAGATGCTGCAGATGGCAGCATTAAACTAAAGTTAAAGAAAAACCCTGAAATATTTCTTAACGCCAAACTCTCTGATACTTCTGATGAAAATATAGAAGATGAGGCAAGTAAAAAACCTTTTAAAAAATACAAAAGTGGACCAAAATCAAGAAGGCACAAAATGAAGACTCATCCAAATTGTGAATTGTGTGTCGCACTGCCTTTAATTCAATGTGAAAATTTAAAAGAAACCTATTTAAATAATAAGGAAATTTTGGATATAAAAAGGTTAGAATTTTAATTGTTTTTTAAATGTAAGGTTAAATTAATAACTGACTTTGGCATCTTTATAAAATAACAAAAAGATCTACATTTCAAAACTCAGTAATTAATATTTTAAAAATTAAAATATAAAATTAAAAAAAATATTTTATTGTTTTAAAAGGTTACCCTAAAATAGAATGTATTTTTTGTCAATTTTAAGGATATTATGAATTTCATTAATTATTAATTAATTTTATCCCAAAAAGTTAAAAATGGCAAGAATTTAACATTTTATTTATATTGTAACTGCTATATAAAGAAATTATTATTTCTGTACCTTGGAGGTAAAGTTATGTCCATTTTGGATTTAGAGAAAACAAGGTTAAAAGTTTTGAAGTAAGTTTTTTTATTTTATATTAGATTTAAAAAAAAGAAGGTTTAAAGAATTAAAATATAGGAAATTCGTATTTTTGTTGAATTTAATAGTGATATTCAATTTAAATTCAAATATCAAGTGATATATATCTTGATATATATTGGTATAGATACAGTGTGTCCTCATTTTTAAAAAATGATTTTTCACTTTAATTAAATTGTTGAGGGTTTTTATTTATAAAATAGAATAAATATTTTCATTAAAAAGCTAAGAATTTTATAAAAAAAACAACCGTTTGTATTTTTCTAAAACATTATTTACATTTAAAAAAACCAAAAGGGCTTAAAAAAATATCGTGAAAATTCGAAAACTCATTACTACAGAAGTATTTAATAATAATAATAATAATAAATGAACTTTATTGCAAAAAAAAGTTAATACAATTTCTTACAAATGGCCATTGACCGAGGTCCTTCAGCCGGTGAACATATCCTGAATATATGTAACAAAAAAAAAACAGTATATAATCGTGAAATTGAAATTAATTAATTAGTATGTTATCTCGTGTTTGTTTATATGGTCTTCTCTGGGTGCTTGAACTTCCTGTTGCCCTGTACCTCCAAACACAACTCGCTCAGAATGTTGTAGTTAGCGTCCTTGCTAATAAAGTTTGTAGATAATTTGATAAATCTTTCCATAATTGGTAAGATATTGAAGGTACCATACAAAAGGTCGTTGGGAGGGTTGTGTAGAGAATTGGTTGGATGTCTCATTTTGGAGATTTTTCGGAGTGATGAGGTTTCCCCGGTTTTAATTTTGCTTAAGGCTGGTTTCCGGGCATTATTAAGTAAGATGCATCCATATTCCAGGATTGGTCTGCATATTAAGGTGTATATTCTTTTTTTTGTTTCATCATTGATGCCTTTTTTGTTGTATGTAAGTCCTCTAAAGTGGCTGGCCCTTGTTAATGTTTTCTTCTTTGACAGGGAAGAGTGAAGATTAAAGTTTACTTTATTATCCAGTGTGATTCCCAAGTATTTTACGTTAGATTTTGGCTCTATTATGTCATTGTACATCTTAATTGTTATATTAGGGTTAATCTTGTTTTGGTGGAAGTGTATTAGTTGAGACTTTAGTGGATTTGGTTTTAGTCTCCATTTGTTAAACCATGCCAAGATTTGATTTGACAGAACTTGGAGTTGGTCAGAGGCAGTTTTTAGTTTTTTACTATGGCAAATTATAGCGGTGTCATCTGCGTATTGAAGTACATATTTATCTGGGTCAAAGAGCATGGGATCTTCATTGTAGATGTCAGCACAATAAAGGTTATAGAGCAGAGGGGAGAGGGGGGAACCCTGGGGCAGTCCTTGTTTGGCTATGAAGTTTCTTGAGCTTTTATTGTTTATTGATACCTGCAGACTCCGGTTATCTAAAAATTTCATAAGTATTTTTAGGATGTTGTTTGGGCAATTTAGCTGGTGCAGTTTGTATAATAACCCTTTATGCCAGACGCTATCAAATGCCTTGCTGATGTCTAGGAACAGTGCCGTGGTTTTTCTTCCCATCAAATGTGAAGTTTGTATATTATTAATAAGTATTGTCAGAGGATCAATGGTTGACTTATTCTTCTGGAACCCAAACTGATAGCGAGGAATCGTGTGTCCTATTGCTTCTGTAATTCTGTTGCATAAAATGTTTTCGAAATTTTTGGCCAAGTTTGTCAGGAGAGTTATAGGTCTGTAGTTTTTTACTTGGGATTTATCGGTGTTGGATTTTGGAATGTTTATAATAATGCCAGTTTTCCACTTTTCTGGAAAATATTGGTTGTTTAAGCAATAATTATATATTCTCAGAATTTCCAAGTGTGTTTCGTAGTCTAGTTGTCTTAGTAGTTTCTTGGTAATCCAGTCGTAGCCTAGAGCTGTGTTTTTTCCTTTATAAAGAATATTAAAATATTCCTCCTCCGTAACGCTTTCAGCTGTCAAAGCAAGGTCTTCTTCTTTGAAGTTGGCATACCATTGCGAGACCTCATTATAGTGGGCTACACAGAAATTTGCATCAATACTTTCTTTATAGGTGTCTTCTAAATAGTCTGCAAAGAGTTCAAGTTTTTCGTTAGTTGTTTCGTATGTTCTGCCGTTGTCCACCAGGGGTGTATTAAACTGGTTCGAAGTGCCCTTACTACCCCCTACTTAGTTAGTTTACTAATTTCTTTCCAGTAAGTTCTTCCATAGTTTTCTTGGATTTTTTCACAAGCTTCTATCCATTTATGTTGTCGGTATTGATAAATTAATTTTTGAATGTTCTTGTTAAAAGTATTTATTTCTGTTTTTAATAGCGGATCTCCCAGATTTTTGTATTCTCTATAAAGTTTTCGTTTCCTTTTTATTAATTTTAGGATAAAGGGTGGTAATTTTTGGGTGTTTCAAGAAAGTTGTCTATGTGGAGCCTGTCCATATTTGGTTTGGATGTTAAAAACTTGGCCATATTACTGTTGACAATTTCTATATTGGTTTTATCAAATAGCCATATTTCTATGGCAAGCCGTTTTAGTTTTTATTACACTTGGCTATCAAGTCTCATTTTAATTCGACTTGATTTCTATGAGACATTAGATAATTGAAATTATATGTATTTTCCTTAAGGGAAATTACATTTTTATTATAATTTCAAAATTGAATGCATATTATCTTTACAAATAGTAAAAATAATGCATTTGTTGTATTTATTTCCATTGGTTTTTTAAATATTGTCCTTAACGTGAAAGCAATTTTCGTTAACAGAAATTGTATTAAATTTACTAATTATAATTTTAATGCAAATTATTTTTACTGTTTTAGTTTTTTGGAGCAATTTTATGACACATTAAAAGGATTTTATTTTAATTCAATTTTATTAAAGTAGCTTCTGACTTGGATACAATGTTACATTTTATTTATGTTAGACCAGGCTAAGTATTAAAATAAAACGTATTAAAATTACTATTACGAATATAAATGCATTTGTCCTTAAAGATATAGTTTTATACTTTCCTAAATGACATAAAAATTAAAAACATTTTAATTTGAAATACTCATTGAAATGTTGTTCCCGAATAAAATTTAGAACCGCAATATATAGAGTCTAACAATATTTAGAGAATCAGAAAATAACATCGAATTAAAATGAGGCTTAATGATCATGTGTACAAAAAATAGCTCGAATTACTTTTATTTTTAACTAAACAAAAATAAACTTCTATTTCCGTTAAGGGAAATTACAATTCCCTTAACGAAAATGTTATTTCCCTTAACGGAAATGCTATTTCCCTTAACAGAAATTACATTTCCCTTAAGAGAAATTAGTGGCGCTATCTGTGGTGAAGATGCCAAAGGTTCCACCGCTTACAGAGTTCTGCCAACTTTGGTTGGAATGCCAGAATCTTTCATTTTGTTTGAATGCAACAAATATGACACAATTAACAATAATGAATAATATTACTACTACAGTTTGCTATTTACTACTTCTTTTCGTTTTAATATCCTTTATTAGAAACGTTAAAACACACCTTACACATGCGGCGTTGCCACACAACATTCGATTCGAATGATGCGATTCCAAAGTCGATCGGTGTCATCGCGATTCGATTCGGAGAGTTTGGTTTTCTCGAGTAGTACCCATAATTATTAATATTACTATTATTATAGTATTATCAATACAAATTTTGTGACAATTTTCTGAAAATTCGATAATTTTGTCAGTAATTTGTCGATAAATTCACTTTTTACATCTGGCAACACTGGTGGGTGATATTTTGTGGGTGGATGTCAACAGGTGTAACGGTTGGTTTTTAAATTAAAAAGGTAACAATCAAAAAAATTCTTTTTACTAATAAATCTTTTGTAAAATCACAGTGCAATAATTTCATTTTATAGAATTTTGATAAAATTAACTATTTGAACTTCAGCCGTCCTCTCATAGATGGCGCCAATTTCCCTTAACGGAAATGCTATTTCCCTTAAGGGAAATACAATTTCTCTTAACAGAAATGATATTTCCCTTAAGGGAAATTGCATTTCCGTTAACGTAAATGCATTTAAATTCTTAATTATAATAAAAACTACTTTCCTTAACGAAATTTGCATTAAAATTACTATTTGTCATAAAAATAATTTTTATTATTATTTCAAATAAAAATGAAATGTTTTAGTATTTTTATTACAATTTCGAATGTAAATCATCCTCTACATCTAATCTTTTCAATTTAATGTACCCAAAATTTCAATGCTTATTAAAAAAGGAATTTTATTTATAATTTGTAATTAAAATGTAATTTCCCTTAAGGAAAATACATATAATTTCAATTATCTAATGTCTCATGGAAATCAAGTCAAATTAAAATGGGACTTGATAGCCATGTGTAATAAAAACTAAAACGGCTTGCCATATATTTCGGGGGTGCGGTAAGGATGTTGTGTAATGTTGTTTATTTCTATAAGAAATCCCAGATGGTCAGAACACAGATCAGGAACAAGGCTTATTTTGTCAATGTTATTTTTTAAATTTTCAGAATAGAGGATGATATCTGGTGTACTATCAGTATTATTGGCCATGAGAAAGGTGGGGGCTGTAGAGTGTTGTACAAAGTTGGTATTATTTGTAAATGTTGATAATTGTTTCTTTTTTTGTCTGTTTACGTTAAAATCTCCAACAATCAAGGAGTATTTGTACAGGGAAGCTTTTGTAAAAATAGTGTCCTCTATTCTGGAATGAGGGTGTATATATACTAAAAAGACATGCAGATGATCATTGAAGAATGGAAGAGTAAAATGTATTACCTCATTCAAAGGGTTGTTTATTCTTGGGGCATTTGGCTTGCCTAATTTTATGGATTGTACAAGACTCCCTCCTCGTGTTTTGTTGTGTATTTGATTTCCCTTTTGTAATACTTGGTTCCAGTCCCTATATTGGGTACTGAGGTTCTGGGAGATCTTAGCTTCTACAAACATTGTACACTGGATATTGTTTTGTTGTATGTAGTTATCAATATTAAGTTTTCGTTTTGAGTAGCTGTTTATATTATTGTATAGAATTTTAACTGACATATTGAGTTATATTTTCTTCCGTGGATGGTTTTGTGGGGGATTCGGAGTTGGGTTTTTCCAGGTCAAACATTAGGATATACATTCGGGTTCCAGAAAATACTGCCTGGGTGTCAATCTTGAAGTTATTTACAAACATTTTCCTTAGTTTTTGAATAAGTTCCTCCCTTTTTTCCTCATTGTTTTTTTCATCGTTTAGAGTGTTGATGTATGTGTTTATTATGTGATCTTGGATGGTAATTGAAGAGTGAATCCTTGATTTTTTAATTTCCTCTGGTAGTTCTCTAGATTTTTGGTTAATTGGTTTAATTGGCATGTTAGGAATGCCTGGTATAGGAGTTGTTGGTCGCTTGGGGCATTTAAATATTAAGAGCTCAAATCTTCAGTGTGTCATTATTTTTATTTTCTCGAAAAAATCTGCGGGGGTCACACTTAAAAAAAATTATTCTGTGGAATGACCGATATATATATATATATATATATATATATATATATATTAATTGAGGTATGTATTTATTATCAAAGTGGCTCCCATCCTGAGGCGTGACTTAAGTTCGATCCCGACTGACGTCACACACTGTAAATCCGTTTTTATTCCCCGACCGTTATAAAATTAATGTTAAGCTGGATGGCTTAGATGGTAGAGCGGTCGCTCTGCATGCGAGAGGTACCGGGTTCGATAGTCCAAACTTTTTTTTATTTTATAAATTTGTTCCTTTGTTAAAAAGTGTTAAGTTGGGTTGGGTTGGTTGGTTTGTTTTAGTTTTATCGTAACATAACAAATCTTAAATTTATGACGTCACTCGGCACTGAACTTAAGTCCCGCCTCGGGACGGGAGCCACAGCGATTTATTATTAATACCTTAATAAACTATCGCTGTGTCCAGAGTCCCGAGACGGGACTTAAGTTCGATCCCGACTGAGGTCATAACTTGACGTCACACACTGTAAATCGGTATTATTCCCTAAGCGTTATACATGTTGTCCCAAAAGTCAACGATATCCTTTGGAGGACTGATAGACCAACTCATGACCAAGCAGAAAATCAAAATATGACCTTAGTAAAAAATCGTTAGTTTTTGAGATATAGTCATTTTTATGAATTTTTTTTTGACACCTTATATCAGTTTTTTGAGTGCCACAGCTACAAAATCTACTATTAATTTAATTTTGAATTGTAATTTAAATATAATCTAAGAATATAGAATGTTGTAGCTGTGGCACTCGAAAAACTGATTTTATGTGTCATGTTTCACAAAATTCATAAAAATGACAATATCTTAAAAACTAATGATTTTTTACTAAGGTCATGTTTTGATATTCTGATTAGTCATGAGCTGACCTATTAGTCCTTCAAAGGATATCGTTGACTTTTGGGACACCCTGTATAATTGATATTAGGCTGGGTAGCTCAGATGGTAGGGAACTCGATAAACAAGTGAGAGCTCAATAATTGGTGCCTTCACAACTTTTTATTTTTATTTAATGAATTTTACATAACGAAATAATACAATGTTGCATTAAAAAGCATTATTATTTAATTTTTCATTAATATTTTAGATTATTTACTTCTCATCATCATTTGTTACGGTAATATGGTATATATTAAATATCTAATTAAATGAATATTCCTTTTTTGGAAAGTATTGGGTTGGTTGGTTTGTTTTGGTTTTATAGTAACAATTACCAGAAATCGTAAAATTATGACGTCAGTCAGGATCAGTCAGTCGGGATCGCTGTGTCTACAGTCCCGCATCGGGGTAGACACAGCGATATATTATACGTTTATAATATAAGAACATATTATATACTCCTTCTATAAAGGGTGAAAAAATGGTAAAAAATCAAGGGGGTGGTAGGCCACGACAAGAAAAGCATTTTGCGATAGGGACGCGACAAAAGCTTTTAGAGAGTATCATAGAAGATTCCCTTTTAGTTGACAACCATCAAAGTACACGCACACTTCGTTTTTTGTAATAAAAAATCTTATCTTTAAATTTAAAAACAAGCACAATTTCAAAAATTGTTACTCTTGATTTCAAAAATTGTTACTCTTAATTTTCATTTCATTTTGTGTCACTGGTTATGAAACACCCTTTATATACATATATAATAATTGTGTATGTACTTACCTACTATTAAAACAATTACGCCCCCCTACCGAGTTACGGGCGTCAAAAACTGCGCGCACCGTTTGAATTTCGCTTTTGTTGTAACTATAATATTGATGGATGACGTATATTCAAGGTTAGGCATCTGTCACTTTCAGTGGAATTGGGAATAGTTATCTGTCACTTTTAGTTGTTTTATATCAAATAAAATGAATTACAAATCTTGACACGCCTATTATACCTACCAATAGCCAGTAAAGGTTTAGGTACACATAAAAACGCCAAGGGGCCGTCCATAAATGTCGTGAAGCTAAAAATGGTCACAGTTGACATAATGTTACGATGTGGAGACTCCAGAAGACCCCCCTGGAGGGAATTTTTAAGACAAATAAAACGCTATTTTGCAAATAAAAGAAAAATAACATTATTTTACATAATAAATTTGAATAGCTATTACGGTTTAATACAAATTAATATGCAAACAGTTTTCAATACTTATTCATTGGCAATACTATACAGGGTGTCTCAGATTTTAATCAAGAAAATTAACAGTCGATAGAACTAGCAAAAAGTTATCAGCTCATGTGACGAATTTTCGAACCGTTCATATATTTTCTGATTCTTTTTTGACTAATAATGAAATAAATTATCAATTTTAATTAATTTACTTTGTCACGTGATGTTTTCCATTAACTTATTTATGTTTTTGTGTTTAAACCTCTACTGGCAGCAGCCTTTACACACGAGACTTTTTTTTACTGGCGCGCCAGTATTGCCTATTACTAATAGAACATATCTGCAAAATTTGTCACTTTGAGGTTTTGGTTTGAATAAATATGACGTTATGTTTCCTACCACGTGTTATAGTAAAAATTATATTAATAATAAGCGTTATTTACTGACAAATTTGACATTTCTAAATAAATCAGGCAATGGTGAACATATTAAATTCTCAAACGTTAATGACGTAAGCGTAACTTTGTTAGATTTCTACTATACAATCATGTTATACTTTTGATTGATCAACGAGGTTCGTAGGAATCTCTCAAGTGGTAGGAAACAACGTTTTATTTATAATTAAAGCTACAAACGAATTTATGTAAATCATTTAAGGGCTTATATTTTTTTTAGATTAACAAATATGGAATCTCTAAAGTTAAAGAGATCAAGAGTGAAGACGGCCTGCTCTTCGAAGTCGTCGGATACAGAAAAGCCCAAGTCCAAGAAGCAGAAAGAAATGGTGGATCCAGAACAGATGTCCGAAACTAATGTGGACGCCGGCGCAGACGATTTATTGCAAGAGATTGCATGCACTGATGCACCTGAACCTGAACCAGTCACTTCAGAAGTTGTAAGATTATTAATAATTATTATCTAGAGATTCATCTTACTTTAAGTCGTTCTTGTTTTTATATTAAAATATATTTTTTTAACGAATAGGCTGAATTAACAAAATATGTTTTTGTATTTTTTCTTCTGTTTTTGTATATTTTTTATCAATTTTAGCTCGACATTAAAGATCTAAGTGATGCTGAAGGTCAAAAGGCTAGCAGTGATGAAAATGAAGAAACACACAATAAGAAAACTGCTAAACAACTAAAAGAAGTAAGATATTTATAAAGCACTTCTTTTCTGTGGTACAATTAACTAAAATTTTAGCAAAAATTAACTGATGAAGGCAACTGTAACCAAATTGAGACTGTGGATGAAAGTGAAAAAACTGATGCCTCTGAAGATGAAGAGGAAATAGGAAACAAAAAGGTACTTGATGTTTAATTCTTCTTGCCTAAACTAACAATTTTTTTTATTTAGAATAATAAAGAAAAGGAAAAATGGAAAAATGATAAACTTTTGACCGCTAAACTGGATAGTACTGATTCTGAAGAGGAATTTGAAAAGTTTAAGAAAAAGAAAAATAAAGAAAACGATGATTCTGGGTAAGATTAAGAAAAAAATTATATAAATACATTAGGGTGTGCCAAAGAAAATTGATATTGTTTTTTTTTCACTCTCCGCTTAAAATGTCGTAGAATATGTCCAAAACAAAATTCTCTCACAAGCGCAGCCCGTAGTTTCAACTTTAAGAGGTCGAATTTAAAGTTTTTCCGTTGAAATAACACATTTTTTACATTATTCAATTCCACAAGCTATGAAACATTTGTATGAGTATCCCCCATCGGCTTCGCCTTCTAGGGTTATTTTACCCCCTCTCGGTTCAAAACGTATGCCGCCACTGCACAGCGTTACATGTGTTTTGTGGATCCGAATTTTCACCCCGGCAGGTAATCTTCCCTAAGAGGTCGTGGATGACTGTGTCGATGGTGAAGGCCATTCCCGGAATTTTGTCGCCGGGCCGACCATACGTCCTATTTAGGCTAGTGGAGTGTAGGACAAGGAGGAACAACAGTTGGTTTTTGGGGGCCTTGAACTGACCCAAAACTAAGTACAATCCGGACTCCCCCTCAACCAGGGTATTAGTAATGACCCCATTCAATTGGGGTTCATGAATGAGGCATGGGTATATTAGTACGTTACTTGGACATCCTTGCTGGTCTTGTATTTCATCCGGGTCTCTGTCCGGTCTGCTGGAATTTGGAATCGCAGTGGTTTGCCCCACTGGGGTGCTGTTTTTACTTTTCCCACACTCTTAGAAGCACTTAAAATGACTCGTTATGAGTTATTGAAGTTTTTTTAGAATAGTTTTTGTTTTCTCACCTAAGCAATCCCTATAATTATTTATTTAACTATTTAGTAGTAGGAACTATTTATTGAAAACGACTATTCATTGTTTTCTTGTTGTGGTAGAAATTGTGTTTACGTTTTCTTTTCTTATTTAATAATTAAGAAATTGCATTTGTGAGTGAAATTTCTTTCATTAATATTTGACTTTCTGCAGAGCTTTTAATTTTTGAATAATTTACGTGTTTTACATTTTTAAGCTAAGCTCTTGGAGAAAGAACAAAAAGTTAAATCGTAATTTTTTAGTCCGCTTGACGACCAAAAAAAAATTTTTTTTGCTATTATTATTTAATACCCACAAAGTCTGATTTATTCAATTTGTGACTTTTATCAAGTGAACTATGGCACAACAAATTTAATAAAAATTTTCAATATTAGGTGAACTAATGATGATAAATCAAAGAGTCCATAAAAACTTTATAATACTTTTAATTTGGTAAACTTTTTATATCATTAGTTGTTGAATATGTTAGCGATCTTATAACTTTTTTATGATTTTGTTTTAAACGAATGTCAAAAAATTGAAAATTAAGTTGTTATCGAAACAAACTATCGATTATTTTAATTAAAAGCAACTAAAACACTTAAAAAATCATAATAAGACTTGATAGGCCTACAACTTTTAACCATTGTTAATACAAAATCTCTCGCCCTTAAAATTTTGTAGCAAATGTTGAAATTTTTTTGTGCCATGGTTTACTTGATAAAAGTCAAAAATTGAAAAAAATAAGACTTTGCAGGTCTGTTGCTTCTAAGATATTAATAATAATTAAAAAAATTTAATACATTTTTTTGGTCGTCAAGCGCACTACAAAATTGCCATTTAAATTTTTGTCTCCAATAGTTTAGCTTAAAAATTTAAGTAAATGAAATTTTTTGTAAAAAATGTAATGCTGAATAAGGTTATTTTTATTTATTTTATAAAAAAAAATGTTTCATAACTTGCGGAATTAAATAATGTAAAAAAATTTTTTCTGTGCTATTTCAACAGGAAAACTTTAAATTCGATGAGGTTTGGACAAAATCTACTATATTTTGAGCGGAGAGTGAAAAAAAACAATATCGATTTTTTTGGCATACTCTAATAGACATAATGTAGGGTAAACTGTCCAACAGTGAACCACAAATGTTTAAAATTAACATATTTAGCAAAAAAAGCCATACAAAATTCTGCAATTTTTCAAGGACACTTTCTAGGGTATTACTAACATGTTCCTGTGCAATTTGTTCTGAAAGAGTTATATATCAACTTTTATGCCATTTTTTTTCTGTTTTTTTTGGACCACTGTGAACCATAACCCTTACAGTGAACCAGGTGATAATTGCACAGTGGACCAGGGAATAAAATAAAAGTCGCTTGTAGAAAAATATTTTAATGGGTATAAAACAAATATATGTGATTAAAATACTTAAAAAAACACATAAGTACAAAACTTAAACAAAACACAAACCTTATTTTTAGAATTTTAAAATAAAATGTAAACTAATGAATATCAAGGGAAGACATATCAATATTGTAACGTTTTTCACTGTTCGTAGTGTGAATTAAAACACGCACTGGTTAATTAACGAACTAAACTATTTATTTAATAACTTAACTACACTTAAAACACTATAAAACCAACTAAACACTTAACTACTAATTATTTATATCACTACTAGTTTATTTATTTGCACTTATATTTATTTATTTCTTCGCGAGTACCAAAGCTCCACTGACTCTCCATGAAGCGCCGTTCCTTATATATTACAGCGCCTAAGTCTTCTGGAACACTCTCGATTATTCGAGCGCTGAGTCACCGGCGATGACTCATCGGCGATGAGTCATCATAGCGAGATCCAGAGCCGTACTCAAACAATATCAAAATTAAAATAGAAATGCTGCCTGAAAGTACTTCCATTAATTTTTGGGGTTGGCAATCAGTCTTGCTAACATCAGCTACATCAGCTACCAAGGGTAGAAAATAAACCGGAAAGTTTTTTTTCTTAAGTAACTGACAGAAAAGTCTCCATTTTTCATTGCGATCACTTTAGCGACATAAAAAACACAACTCTTCTTTTCTTTAAAATCAACAGCCTCTTGAATCTCATCGTCTGATACGTCATCATCTTGTTCTAAAACCACGGAAGTTTCTGAATCTGAAGATGAACTTACTAACACTGCCCTTTTTGTCTTATTCGGAACTTTTCTCTTCCTAGTTTATTTTTCCATCGCTATTAGATTTTTTCCTGGGGTATCGCTAGCAATTAAATTTCTTTCTTTTTTACGATTCTTTACTGTGCCTTTTCTAGGGCCTGCCTTTAGCGGCTGCCGAAACTCTTTCGGAGATACAAATGGCTTGTTTGTATCTCCCACTAACGATGTAATGAGGAAACGACACTTAAATCTAATGAATCATTGATCATAATGTTTTCATTGACAGGTTCTTGGGTTGAAGGACCTGCCTGCGCCTGATCATTATTTTAAGATATAAAGTGACCGAACATGGAAGAAAGTCAATGTCTGAAAATATTCCGATCGAATGGAAAAATACCGTTTTTCTAAAAGCATTGGTAATTGTCGATGGCGTCATAGCTTTTTGGTACGCTTCTCCTACCAAAGATCCCACTTCATAAATGCTTACCGGCTTTCCGGGATTGCTACATTATAATATTCTTTAAATCGTTTCATGACCCCAACATCTAGGGGTGAGTCCGATGCGTTATATTGTGCGGCAAGGTAAGATCGTTAACTGCATTTTCTTTTGCGATATCCAGAGCCTTGATCGTAAGATGAGATTCGTGATTAATAATGACGGATTTTCTTTTGTAGATGAGCTGTATTTTACAAAATGTCTCCTAACCTTGACAAACAGTTCCGAGTTCATCCATCCACTGGGGTTTGTCAAGCTCAAAGTTCCATTTATCATGTAATTTTTAAAATGGACCCGCGGAAAAACAAACGCAGGTTGCAAACTTTGGCCACTGGCACTAATAATTCAGCAGAGTGCCCTTTTCACCGCTAGTTACTCTGGATAAACATTTTTTTTTTGTTACCTACCTTTGAGGATTTTTGCACCCTTATTGTTCGCAAATTAAGTGTGGAGGGGATATATTTGCCAAATATTATTTGGAAATGGTTCACTGTTGGACAGTTTTTCTACATATATGCTAGCTAATTTTTATTATTTGTAGAAGCAACTCTGATGATAAGAAAAAGGACAAGAAAGGAAAGAGGTAATTAAAAAAATAGCAGACAATTTTGACAAGTGAAGGACCAAGTTGATGAAGGGGTTAAGTAACAATTTTAATAATAAAGAACAAAAAATATTGCAATTGTAATTAAAAATAAGTTTGGTATTTCAATTAAAATATGTATTGTTTGAAGGTGTCATGTTACATTTAAGTTAAAAAAAGAACAATCAATATTGTGATTGTAAATAAATATAAATTTGGTATTGCATATTAAATATTTGTCCTTCATAATTAAAAATGTTACTCCTTATGTTACCCCTTTATCCACTTGCCAATTCAATTGTGTCTTCCCTGGGTGAATGAAAGGTCTGGAAGGGACCTGTAACAGTACAAATTAAAAATTATGGATTCTTAATTATGATTTATGAGATTTTTAATTAAGGAAACAGTATGGAATATATAACAAAGTACTGTAACAGAACTTTACTTTCATATTGTTTCATAATGTATGATTTTTTTTGTTTATATCCAAGGTATGCATGTAAAACTACCAGATATATTTTTTAATTTGATTAATTGACAAAAACACAGGGATTCTATCTTAAATGTATTTATTGAGCTTAAATTACATTTTTATTTATTGATGCCACTATAAACTATACAGTATAATATCAATGACTTTCTGACAAAGTATCACAAGCAACTTAAATTTTGAGAATTTCAACACGGGTGGCTGAAACAAGGTAACAAACTGAATTTTAGTGAGGCTGGGACCAATCAAATTTAAAGAAAAAATTGAAAAATCGGGACATTTTAATACCTCCGCAGGACAGTCCCGCCTAAATCGGGACGTATGGCAACCCTAGATACCACCACCTTCTTTTGTTTTTTCTATGGCCGCCATATTATAATTTTACATGGTTAAATAAAAAAATCAAGGAATCCAATGATGTTTCAAATTACATATAAAAATAAAAGAGGGTGATGGTAACCCAAAACGTAGTATCGAATATTAAATATTTGTCCTTCATAATTAAAAATGTTACTCCTTATGTTACCCCTTTATCCACTTGCCAATTCAATTGTGTCTTCCCTGGGTGAATGAAAGGTCTGGAAGGGACCTGTAACAGTACAAATTAAAAATTATGGATTCTTAATTATGATTTATGAGATTTTTAATTAAGGAAACAGTATGGAATATATAACAAAGTACTGTAACAGAACTTTACTTTCATATTGTTTCATAATGTATGATTTTTTTTGTTTATATCCAAGGTATGCATGTAAAACTACCAGATATATTTTTTAATTTGATTAATTGACAAAAACACAGGGATTCTATCTTAAATGTATTTATTGAGCTTAAATTACATTTTTATTTATTGATGCCACTATAAACTATACAGTATAATATCAATGACTTTCTGACAAAGTATCACAAGCAACTTAAATTTTGAGAATTTCAACACGGGTGGCTGAAACAAGGTAACAAACTGAATTTTAGTGAGGCTGGGACCAATCAAATTTAAAGAAAAAATTGAAAAATCGGGACATTTTAATACCTCCGCAGGACAGTCCCGCCTAAATCGGGACGTATGGCAACCCTAGATACCACCACCTTCTTTTGTTTTTTCTATGGCCGCCATATTATAATTTTACATGGTTAAATAAAAAAATCAAGGAATCCAATGATGTTTCAAATTACATATAAAAATAAAAGAGGGTGATGGTAACCCAAAACGTAGTATCGAATAAATTGGAGGAAAATGTAGAATAATGTGTTTGTTACATGTACAACTTACTTTGTTTCAAATATCGATTTTTGGATTTGAAATGTTTTTTGTTTTTTTTTTAATATTTTGAGAATCGCTGTCTTTTTTAAATTAATAAAATTCATATAAACATATGTTTGTAATTACTCAGCTTTTCCCTAATTTAACCGACATTGTAGCTTTTATAATAAAAAAATACCCATAGAAGAATATATATGGAGGGAGCACCCTGTATATAGCCTATAGGTTTTATAACAAGTAAATAGCTATAATTATAAGGTATTTACTTGTTATAAAACCTATAGGTTATATATAGACTTCAAATCACAAATGTATTAATTAATTCAAATCCTTAAAACAACTGTTGTAACTCATACACAAAAGAAAACTTAAATAAAATTATAATAAAACAGACTTATCAGGTTTGCCATTATAACAAAAATTTCGGATTTCTTTATCAATGTAACTTTTATTATAAAAGAACAATGCAATAGACATAAGGCTCAGTTGTACAATATAAATACAGGTCGTCCCAAAATTGACGTTCCAAAGGGTTAAGGTGAATTCCTTTTAAAACTACAAGATAACTCGTGAAATTGCAGGAGTTATTTAATTTTTAAAGCCGCCAATGAGAGTTCTGTTTTTCTACTCTGTCGAGTTTTTTGTTATATATTTTTTTGTTTACAAAACACGATGGTATTTTATTCTTAGGGGCTTTAAAATGTAAATAAACCCTGAAATTTTTTGACTTGAAGAAAAAATTGTCTTGGAATTTCATTCGCCCCTTGGGCGCCAATTTTGGCACACCCTGTATATAATTTTTGATTTTCATAGTACAGGGTTATGTATTTTCAGTAAAAAAACAAGGAAACGCGTAAAAATTGTAATTGACTCTGATGATTCAAATGATGCTAAAAGTAGCGGAGAGGAATTTCAAAGAGACAGTGAAAAGTCCAGCTCAGAGGATGAAAAAGTTAGTGAACCTGAGGAGGAAGGCCAAGAAAAATCAAAGAGAAAAAGAATAAAACCTGAGGATAGTACCAGTGATGAGGATGATAAGGCCACCAGAAAGCAAATAAGAAGGGTAATAAAATAATAAACTTTTATATTTCAATTTATTAAAACGTTTTCAACTTAGGTTATGGGCAAAGATTCTCTATCAGACACCACCAAAAAGGCGGAAGCTGACGAAAGGGAGCGAAAGGCTCGCATAGCCGAAAAACAAAAAAAAGTAAAAAAAGCAATAATAAAAATAAATTTATAATTCATTGAAATATTATTTTTAGTATAATCTAGTATTTGAATCGAAAGACTTAGACGCAACAGTGGACAAATTGATTTTGGACTTCAATGAAGAATCCAATGAGGAACTGCTTCGCGTTGATGACCATTTGGTAAAAAAACTAAAACCCCATCAGGCTAGTGGCATAAAGTTTATGTGGGAGGCTTGTTATGAATCCGTAGAGCGTGCGCAGAAAACCAAAGGTTCCGGTTGTATTTTGGCCCATTGCATGGGTTTGGGAAAAACACTTCAGGTAAGAAAAATATTGAAATTTAATATCTACCCAATAGGGTTGACAGGCACATTTTTTAATTGCATACAATACTGATGGCCATCGAAAAAAAATTCTCCTAACTTTACCCTACTGAGATTTTCAGTAATTTTAATGAATCATTAGGTGCGTTCTTTTCGCCTGAGATCTCAGCTCACTTCAGTTAATGTGATATGAGATGTAGTGATGTGAGTAAGCATTAAAAAGAACGACACACTCAATTGAAACGCGCAATCTGACGGCGTATACGTGAATAAGAGGCAACATAACCTATCTCTGATATATCTGATATGATGTTCTGTGTCATATCCTTATTGGTTTAAATGTCGTGGTTTTCTATGTTTAAATTTGCGTTGAATTATGGATAATACAAAAATAATAATAAAGGTTTTTTTATGAAGACAATGAAGGTGATAAAATGACATAAATAAATGACATGTTTTGTTCATTTTATTGTAAAAAGTGTTTTTCTAGCTCTGAAAAACAATTTTATTCGAATTCTATTTATTATATCAAGTTTATAGCTAATTTACAAAATTTAATTATTATGGAAATTTAAGTTTTATTGCAAAAAATCATTTTTTTGTAAAAAATAATAATTTTATGACATAAAATAAGAATTAAAAAAATCTTCACTTTTACTTTCTTTGTTCAATTATATTGTAAAAAGTGTTTTTCTTGTTCTGAAAAGCAATTTTATTCGAATTCTATTTATTATATCAAGTTTATAGCTAATTTACAAAATTTAATTATTTTTATGGAAATTTGTTTTATTGCAAAAAATCACCTAAATAATGTTATTTAAAAAGTTAACAAATCAATCATTTCTTTATCCCCTCCACTTTATTTCCGACTTACTTCAAACTGATTCCCCCGCACAGCAGTATCGGTAAGGGGGAGGAAGAATCTCAGCTCACTTTATGGCGAGTGAAGCAAAAAGAACGCGGACATTTGCAAATTTTTCTGATGTGAGCTGATTAACTGAGATCTCAAGCGAAAAGAAGGCACCTATTGATAGCAAAAATCTTATTATTTTTTAACTGATTTTCAACATGTCCCAGCCCTTTTAGACAAAATAAGTTTAAACGTTAAACCATCAGGGATGAGCATGTAGAAAATTATACATATTCCACATGTAGAAAATTCATTTTCTACCCTTTTTTCTTTTTCTGGGTTTTAATAAATTTTAATAGTTTGGCATTACTTTATTAAATGACCGTCACAATCCTAGGTGACCGACTGCATTTCAAATGTGACCGATTTTAAAATTCGCGAATTTTGCAAGTCAGTGCCTGCCTTTAAGGGTGCTGACTTGCAACTGAACGTTGTAATGTAATGTAATCTAAAGGCGGGCACTGACTTGAGCCGAGCTTTGTAATGTAATGCTCAAGGCGAGCATTACATTACAACGCTCGAGCTCAGATCGTTTTCTTGGCGCCGCGAATGCTCATTTTGAATGCTCTGCTCAACAGTGCTCCATTTAGTCAGTTCCGAAATGGCGCGCACTGACTTGTAATGTAACAATCAAAGGGATTCGCTAAAAAACCGACACTCAAGTGGAGCACGGATGCTCCGTTCGCCGCTCGCCGTTCGCGTTCGCTTCGCGCTCGTTTATAGGCACTGACTATCGAATATTCGTGTTACATTACATTACATTACAACGTTCAGTTGCAAGTCAGTGCCCGCCTTAACACGAACATTCGATAGTCAGTGCCTATAAACAAGCGCGAACGGCGAGCGGCGAACGGAGCATCCGTGCTCCACTTGAGTGTCGGTTTTTTAGCGAATTCCTTTGATTGTTACATTACAAGTTAGTGCGCGCCTTTTTGATTCATTCCGAGCAAGTTGCATTTACCTATTTAATCGATTGACGAGACGGGACGTTTTGCGATATTTGCCCGCCTTATTATTTTGTGATATTTATTAATATAATTATATAATGGAGTGGTCTCAAGACAAAGTTTTATTTTTTATTGAAATGTACCATAATCTCAGGATCCACAACATTATAATAAATTAAAAAAACATGACGCCTTGCAGCAACTGGCTGACGTGTTAAAAACAACTGACTAAATGGAGCACTGTTGAGCATTACATTACAAAGCTCGGCTCAAGTCAGTGCCCGCCTTAAGGGAATTTGGCTTGAAAGTTTAAACGCACAAAACGATCTCTTCTGTGTGTTCTAGACCTGGTCTGCGCGTTTTGTAGTCATAAATTTTTAGCTCTTGATAAAGGATTAATGACAAGTATTAACGTTTAAATTTTATATAAGGTACCTGTCCCATATAAGCCGACGTAATATAGTACAAAACTAAAAGTTTCACCACGTGACTTTTGTTGTTGATGAGCTGATTTCGTCTTATTTTCCAAAAATAATACAGTATTGTTTATGTTTTAAATTAAGACCTTTATACACAAAAACTACATACATTTCATTACTTTCAGAAAATAGGACGAAATTAGCTTGACAGGAAATTAACTTTAATTATTTGTATCAAAGTCACGTGGTAAGACTTCTGGGTGTGGACCATAGTACTATGCTCCACACATCAAAGTCCCACCAGGTGAATACGTACTGAAGGCAGCCTTTTGAAAATTTGGCATTTAAGGCATTTCAGGTTATGTATCTGTCAAAGTATATTCAACAAAAAAAATAATATTATGTTTGGGGGTTAAAAATGTATAAATCTTTATAACATTACAATAACAATGGTTGGTTTAAGAATTTAGGAATATAAATACTGCATTTAATGAAATTCTAAAGTGTATGGTGCCAAATAAGTAACATTCTTGTGCATTTGGTCGAAATATCTGGTTTTCTCCATAAAATAATTTTAACTAAACAGCATTTATTTAAAAAAAATCTAGCTTCCCTATTATGGAATAAGTATACCCGTTTTAAAGGTACTATCGCTAACAAAAAAAACTCATACAGCTTAAAAATCTAGTGTTCCTGATTTTCTATCATTTCGTTGGAGTAATTAGGGCTTTTAACATGATACGTCACATTTGAAAGGTCTAAAATTTAATACAAAGTTAGGTTGAAGTTTGAAAAAAAAATAATATTTCGTCATCCCTCTGTTTTTGTCAATTACTGCCCGCAAACGGCAAAGCATGGAAGTCGCCGTCTTGCTTTATCTTGTTCCAAATGGCTTCAATGGCTTGCCAGAGTTCGTCTGCATTGTTTAGTTGAAAATGTTGTTAAAAAAGTCATAATGGATGTGACAAAGCTCGATGTCAGCTTGACATTGACGGAAAAGTTTTATTCACACAGCCACAATATAGCTGTATGAGTTTTTTTTGTTAGCGATAGTAGGTTAATATATTATAACAAAAATATAATCTAATTTTGTAATTTTAAGGTTAGAAAAATTTATTTTGACCAAAATAAATATTTTGGATTATTTAAAAGACTGTATAATATGGTATTTAAAAATGTGGTAGTTTTTCTAATCCAGCTTAAAGTGTATCTACATAAAGTTTTGTCAATACAAATACCTAGTTATAATAAAGCTTCGACTGAATTTGATCTACATCAAAAAATCCTTATAACTTTAAAAATTTTAATAAATCACATGTCATGGGAGTATTAAATATTTTCACATTGCATGTTTCTCTAAAAATTGTTTGTTTTCTTATAATCTAACTTAAAGTAGGTATGCCGAAAGGTATGCACAAGTTTTGTCATTAAAAGTATAAAAGCTTCAAATTAATTTGAACCATATTCAACAATTATTTAGTATACCTATATTTATTTATGACCATACTAACACACTCTTTCAAATAATCCACTTATTTATTTTGGTCAAAATAGATTTTTCTAACCTAAAAATACAAAATTAGATGATATTTGTTAACTATACTTTGACAAATACATAACCTGAAAACCCTTAAATGCCAAATTTTTAAAAGACTTCGTTCCGTAAGTGGTCACGTGGTGGGACTTTGAGGTGTGGAGCATAGTACCTGTCCCATATAAGCCGACGTAATATGGTAAAAACCTAGAAATTCTACCACGTGACTTTTCTGTTAGTGTTGAGCTGATTTCGTCTTATTTTCTAAAAATAATACAAAACATGTACTGTTTATGTTTTAAATTAAGACTTTTATACCCAAAAACTACATACATTTCATTTTCAGAAAATAGGACGAAATTAGCTTGACAGGAAATTAACCTTAATTATTTGTATCAAAGTTATGTGATAAGACTTCTGGGTGTGGACCATAGTACTATGCTCCACACATCAAAGTCCCACCTGGTGCCTTTTGAAAATTTGGCATTTAAGGCATTTCAGGTTATGTATCTGTCAAAGTATAGTCAACGAAAGAAATCATATTTATATGTTTACACAATAACAATGGTTTATTTAAGAATTTTGGAATATAAATATTTCATTTAATTAAATCCAAAAGTGTATGGTGCCAAATAAGTAATATTCTTGTGCATTTGGTCTACATACCTGTTTTTTTCCATAAATAAGGGTTTTATTAGAATAAATCTACCTGCTGCAGCTTGGCAAAGCATGTAACTAGTACAGTAAAAAAGCTTATGTAGTCCTTTGGGGTTAAGTATGAGGAAATAAAACGCAACTGGTTCGTTTGATCGTTTATAAAAGACTAATTTATTCTACAAAAGCGAGGGAACATTAACTTTTACTTAATATACTGAAGAGGGCGTTCTAGTACTAACATTAGGATTTTAAAATTTCCGGAAAAATTGAGCCGGCGGAAAAAAACGGAAAAATTGTGAAATTTTCAGAAAAATTTACTTGCATTTTATTCAAAGGGAAATACGAAAAAATGCAAAAGTCAATTTTTCGGAAAATTTATAAATTTTTACGAATACTATCCGTACACTGATCGAGAAAAATAAATTTCCGACGCTGAATATATAATCTTAATTTAATGATTATAATAATTATTCCTTTTGTTATAATTCAGTAAGAATATTCTACCAGGTCGCAAAAAAACATATTCGGTGG